TTTTAATTCATCTCAAGCATTTTACATTCACTCTGCTATTGAATTCAAGGGCCCACCTAGTCTACCTATCTGCGTGCGAACATTCCTGAGAAGATCCTGGCAGCGATCATCCTCTGATCGCAGCAAGAAGCAATATTTGAAATACAAGTAAGTTACGGTATCGCCCTGCATCAGTACAACAAATCCAGCTTGGAACAACTTGTATTTTTCGAATCTGCTATTACAGAGACGCTTGGTGGCCACAGAGCACTTGCGGCTGCGCAAAGCAACAGAACCTGGCCGGTAATCCAACCAGGTGGAGACATGTCAGCACTGAACAGTTCGTGATGTACCTACATCCCCGCCCCCCTCGCTCACCTTCTCCTTCCACATCCGCCTCGCCCTCCTCACCCCAGAGTGAGGCTCCCCCATTCCCGCGACTCCCCTGTTCCGGAGGAGCTGACACCAGCCCCTTGTCCAATCATCCCAGCGAACGGTCCGCTCAATCTGTGCGCCCTTTTACTTTATCCTCCGCCCACTCCCCCCTCCTCGCTCGTCCTTCCCCCCGTGTTTTCCCGCCAACTACATGTGTACCTCCCTCCCACCCGCCCCCAAGTGCTCCCCTTCCTCCACTCTCTCCCCCCATACCAGGCAACCACCCATCTCCTCTTCCAGAGGATAACGCCCGATTCTTCCATTTGCCACAATCCTGGCAAGATACATCCTACCCAGGAGCACCTGCCTGAGAGAATGTGGACGCAGAAGAGGCCGCGACGCGACTCGGTGGAAATAGATCAAGCAGCCCAGCGGGATCAGACCTCAAGCGCTTTTGGCCGCCGCCATCAGCGCCAGCCAGAGCCTTCCATTCAATCACAGCGCATCGTCCATCTGATCCACCTGCTCTACCGTCACCTGACGTTGGGCGTCATTCTCGTGATATATAATCAAAGTTTTGAAATGCCTTTTCCGACCAGGAATCTTAGGTTCAGGCTCTCGAGTCTCCACCCCTCCTCTCCTGCTCGCTCAGCAGCACCTCTCGTTCCTTCGCCGCTGCTGCTGGAGCTTCCTTGTCCGTGAGAACCATCGCCAGTAACTTGACTGATTGCTGTACCTCGTCCTGTGATCCACGCGCGTCGATCTACCAGCTCGCTTACTACGCGGCGCGTGTCGGGCGCTGTATCTGTCCGTCTTCTATCAACCCAGCATCAAGCATATCTTTTGAGAAATTTCACCAGCAGACGAGATGGTGCGAAGCCTCCCCGCCTCCCCCACGAAAGAAGCAGGGTACACCCCCCCTCTTCTCCTTGTCCTCTTTTATCATCCGCTTCCCAAACCTGTTCTCGCACTCTTTTCTTCCTCCCCCCGCCCACCCCCCCCCCCCCCCCCCCCCCCTCTCCCCCCTCACACCCACTTATCCTCCTATATTCGGAATTGTGCACCGACCGGTTAGGTCTTATCCAACACTCGTTTTTCCATCCTTATTTGACTCACGTTGCTTTGCCGGCCTCCCTCCGCGTCCTTCTGTCGCCGCGTAGGGAGGGAGCCACCACGACGAGCCTGCGCCAGGGCCATCGGGGGAGCTGGAGTGCGCTGTCAGCGGGGGCGGCGGAGCGGAGGCGCTCGCATGGAGGATTGGCGGGATGTTCGGCATCCTCGTGTGCAGCTTGTGAGATCTAGTAGCTACTCTCAGCTCCTCGTAACTTGTTTGTCTGTACTGATTCATCCGATGCCCAGTACTAGCAATAGTATATTCTCATGAGCTTATGTCTTGTATGCAAGACAATGTTTGGCATTTTTATGTTTAGGTCGTGTTCTGATCATCGTGGCTTTGAGATCGTCGCGTGTACATCGCCCTGCCATTTTAGTTCGCTTCAATTTCCTTCCTGTCTCGCCTTTCACAGGATCGGCTTCGCGTTGCCTTACCTTCTTCGAAAGCAGCATAGGTCAATCCTCTTCTTCTTCCGAACCTTCGCGGCGGGCGTGGTGCTTGCCGTCGCGATCGTCCACATATTTCCAGGTACGTCCACCAGTGAATGATTCTGATCATTCTTGAAATACACCTCAATCGGCATTGACCTCCGTATCCACCGATTGCAAGACTAGAAACCCTGTTGCCCGCCACAAATGTACTCATTAGGAACGAACGCTGACTTCATTAGGCAAACTGATGGGGAGAATGGAATGGAGTGGAATGGGATGAATGCACTTGACGAGTGCAGTTTAGCTCGTATATATACTTGAGCTAATTTTCTCTCGCTATTGCCCAAACCCCATCTGCAGGAGCACAAGAGGCGCTCTCCAACCCGTGCCTGGGATTTGCGGAGGATTTTCCGTGGGCGTCAGTTTTTGTCCTCTACGCGGCCCTTATTTCCTTCGTCGTGGAGTGTTACCTGAAGAAGATCCTTCTTAGATCGCTGCAGTCTAACAGCGAGAAAAAACACGTGCCAGCAGAGGGCGAGTGCGTCGAATGCGGGTTGAACACGGAAGAGGATGAGAAGGCGCTCGTCATCAGCGGTTACCGCGCAACTTCGTACACTCTCGAAGCGGGAATTATCTTCCACTCTATTTTTATCGGAATCGCACTCGGAACAACTCAAGACATCTCCGAGATTCAGAGTCTCGTCATCGCCCTCCTGTTCCACCAGGTACGATGGCTTGCACTAGGTAACGAAGAAGCATGGATAACCGCTAGGTCTCTGCATTGCCTGATTCTCACGGTTTCTAACGCTGATCTGTCCTTTGGCTCTGCATGTTCAGGGGTTTGAGGGCATCAGTCTCGGCACAACGCTCATCCCATGCCAGTTTTCCAAGCTCAAGACAGTTATCATGGGTCTCCTCTTTGCCCTCACAACACCGATCGGTGTGGTCATTGGCCTTGCGATCTACTCCTCCTATAACCCTTCCAGCAAGGCTGCGCTGGCTACTGAGGGGGCTTTCAACGCCGTCTCTGCGGGCATTCTCATTTATAACGGCCTGGTTGACCTCGTTGTGCCTGCTTTTGACGAGGATGACGAGGCGACACCCAAGGGCGCGGTTCTGTACTTCCTTGGGTTCGTTTCGCTGTTCTTGGGTGCCTTTTCGATGTGTCTTCTTGCCCTGTGGGCGTGATCTCTTCCTCTTGTTAGAGACACCTCCAAGGGCCAAGGCCAGTGTTGGCGCTTTCATGCTGAGAAGAAAGATCTGATCAACAAGATCGTCGCAAAGGCATGCTTCCTTCGAGAGCATGCTGTGCTGGGTCCAGTTTTGGTGAAGAGCCAGTTGCTCGAGCTTACTTGAGCTGAGCTGTGAAGTCTCTACCTCTCTGCTTGGTTGAAATATCCAAGCAAGGCTGTGTCCATCTTGATCCCAACAAGGATTGGATTTCTTCAAGCAGCTGTGTTAGCACAATGCCGTAGAGGTTGCCTTGGTTGAGTGCAGAAGTTCGGTACGGGAATTTTTGTGAATGGAAACGATTAGCACAATGTTATTGGGATTTATCTATCTGCAACTTCTAAGTGCTAAGACCTGTCCTCAAAATAGACAGACTCTGTTCCGCTAATGAGTTGGGACTACCAGAATTTTGTCGAAAACGACTCGGAACAATTTCGATCGAAGTTTCGTACCCCCTCCGAGTCACATGGCCATGGTGGGTGGAAGCTTCGCACGCAATTCCTCAGAAGAAGTTTTAAGGCCCCATTTATCCTGCGTGAGTATCCCCCACACCCGCTGCCTTCACTAGCCTTGTGCGGCACATTTCAGCTCTCGTCCTGATCGCCATCGTCAATCGCCTACCTCTTGTCTCGGCGATAATCTCGCGCCACAATACTTGTCACGTCACACCGGCCCTCTTTACTCCCTCCCGCTGCCGTCTCCATCCGATTAAGCAAGCCCACTTCGTGCTGCCACGTGGCTAACATGTGTCACAAGACTCCGTGCAAGGCGTGCGGCAAGTACACGTGGATGGGTTGCGGCATGCACGTGGAGAGCGTGTACAAAAGCATTCCGGAAGACAAGCGGTGCGCGTGCAAGCCATGGCCGGGGCTTAAGGAAGACGGTACGTGGGAGAAGAAGAGCTGCTCGCTGCTCTGATGATAATAAATACCTGAGCATGTGATCTTCTTATTATGTGATAATAAGACTATGTGATTATGTGATGTGAATTGTGAGGCTGGCGACTTTTCAGCGGAGAGCGGAGCGGACTCTAAGGTCAATGACAATGAGGACACACGCAAGAGGACAGCCTAGCTATTCGTGTGACCTGACCGACGAAGGGGGGGGTGGAGGGGGGTTGGTCGGGAGGGAGGAGATCGCGCCCTACCGTGCATGGATGGTTTGGATTGGTTGGACCGTTCGACCCTGACCGTGACGCCTTTTGAGGCTCCTCAAAAGTTCAGCCTGACCGGAAAGCTGCATGCGCTGCATGCGCTGCGCGTCTGCTGCTCGATGCGCGCTCTGGGATGCAAGCATGCATGTAGAAATCGTCGTCAGAAATCAGGATGCTTGTAGACGTTGGACTACCGTTGTTGTTTCCCTTGCGTAGCTTCTCTTGGGTAGCATTGCAGACCTTCCGACCCCTGTACCTTTGTACTTCTTATGTTGTCAATAAAGACGATGTGGTAGGATTAGACTAGAACAACCGGTGGCAGTAGTAGTTTATTACTCCTCACTTGGCAGTTTTTTTTACATCCGCCGTTTTCATGACCTGGCGTCGCTCTGTGTTTATCCTTGTCTCCTAAGCCCTAGGTCCTAAATTGCTAGTGGGTTCTCTACTAGGTATTGCTGTTTGTTGGCTGGACTTCAGTTGCCAAAGCTGTACCGCCTAGTCAAATCAATCTTGCATAGACCCTACTACGCCATTAATCACCCTAGCTTGGAAAGTAGTGATGTTTCTTCGCTCTCTGTCGCGTTCGCTTCTGTCGAGTACGACCACACCCTCAGCAGCCACACCTGTGATATCATCGCCAGTTGGTACACTGGGGATTCGCGAGAGGCGGGTTAACGAAATCCAGCTGCGAGGAGGCGAAGTCGCACCGTTTCGCAGCATGGCGTCGCAAGCCCTACCGCAAAATCCGCCCCGCGAATCGCGTGCGACGATCGTGCACGACAGCGCGTCGCACAAGTTTATGTCGAGCGACGGGCAGGCCTTCGCCGAATACGACCTTCTCTCGCCTCCCCAGGCTGCCGCGTCGTCGGAAGCTTCCATATCAACGAGCGCGACGAGCGCCGGGAAGAGCGGCGGCGTGACGAACGGCGTGAAACGCGGCGTGATGGACATCACGCACACGTACGTCCCGCCGAGTCGACGCGGCGAGGGCCTCGCCGCTCGCCTGTGCGAAGCCGCGTGCGAGTACGCCAAGGAGAACGGGCTCTACGTGCGACCCACGTGCTCTTATGTTGAGGTACGTTCCACCCACGTGCTGCCCACGCGCTCTTACATCGTGGATGCCTCTTAAGTAGTAGTTAACGCCAAGAGAAGGTGGGAGTGGGGGCCTGGGAAAGAGGGGCAACGTGGTGGGGGCTTGGGGGGGCCATGCTAAACCTGGCCTACATGATTCCAATGGTGTTGGTCGTTTTTGTTTTATGTTACTTTCACCTGCATGAGCCTTGATTTCCATGTGCTATGTTCCTCTGTACCACACACACTTATTTTTGCAGCAGTTCCTCCCCCCCCCCCCCCCCCCCCCCCACCTTCCACTGTGCTATTCCCTCCATCACATCTCATCTCATCTCATCGCATCTCATCGCGTCTCATCGCATCTCATCTCGTCAAATTTCATCATATCTAATGGAATTTCATTCATGCTCCCATCATTTCTGCTGGTTTCTGAGAATTCCAAATAGCCTTCAGGTCATCCTTTCACAATCACACCTCACCTTGCTCCCTCCCTTTCCTCAAAGGAGACATTTATGAAGCGGCATCCTTCCTGCCGTGACCTTCTTGAACCCGGCACTCTGCGGCCAACACTCTGAGACTCACCCCATACATGGCCGATGGTAGTCCCGATGGTATGGGACTACCATTGGCCATAATACATGGTAGTCCCTGTAGGTTTAGACTCATTGCAATCCGAGACCATTCTTCATGCAACTTGCTGGAGCCAGGCACTTTGAGTCTGAGACCAGCCCCTCAGGACTCACCTGAGGCTTAAGCTCCCATAATGGCTTACCCTCGTTAGGAGGTGAGGAGGTGTGGACCATGGAGAGGGAACTTGCTGCAGCCCCGCACCTTGAATGCTACCAACATTCGCGTTTTAGCTGGAGCGCCAGTTAAAGTGCATCAATCGATCTGCGACAGCCTGATTCAGACAGAGCTCCTTCCATATAGCCTAGCATGTAATGGGTCAAGCAAAAGAGCTCTGTTGATGTCCCTGTACATAGTAGCACATTAACGCTGAATTAACATGCAGCTGTAATCTTGTTAGCGCATGGCAATGTTGCTGAACTTACTGACCAAGAATATGGTAACCGTTACTCAGGTCAGGTGTCTGTCTACCCTCCGCAACTCTGCTGGGGAGACTTCTGTTGGCGTCGTTGCGGAAGTACTCGGCCTTGTTGGGGCACCTCTTGGTGGATCGGAGAGGGAAAGGGGGCCTGATTTCCTCCTCCATTGACACAAAGCTCAATGACAGAGAGAAGAACAGGTGATGCTACATTGACATGGTAATGGGTGGGGACACAATACACTCCCTTCCTTCCCTCATGCTAAACCAAGCGTCTCTTCTCTAGATTCATCTCATGCGACAGCGCTGTTTTGATCCATACCATTTCTCATTTCATTGGCTCACATAAACATATGCATCACATGAGCTAATTCTCCTGGAACTTGGCTTCACACTACAGTACATACGGTCATGCCATGTGGAGTACCCTACTGGATGCCAAATTGCATCCTGTGTTGGGTACACTGTCACCCATCTCATGCCATGTCGCATCAAGGCCACAATATCAATATCGAAGCAGCTACAAGCGCAGCAGCAACCAGCTTCCTCACTCCCGACGGCTCCGAAACCTCTTCCCGTTGAAACCAATCATCTCGCTTCAGCAGAACCATCGCCAGCACCAACCACGTCGCTGCATTCTCCCGGCCATCTGGTCTGAGAACAAGGGAAACGGCTGCTGCTGCTAACACACCCATGGACACCGCATGCTGCTGCTTCCTTCCAAACAGCGCTGTGATGATCCTACCCCCATCGAGAATACCCACAGGTAGCAAGGAGAGAGAGGAGAGGTTGACCCCAAGTAATCCGGCTAGAATGAGAGGGTTTATTGCGAGATCTAGCGTAGAAGCGCCTGTGGAAACTGTAGACTGTAAGGAGTCGGGGCTAGTAACGAGTACAGCCGATGCTAGGTCAGAGGCGAGTGAGGAGAGGACGTGGGAGTGTGCAAAGGTGGAGGCCGGAATGGTGACTACATTAGGTGTGATTGTATCAGATTGAAGGAGGCCGAGAAGGATTAGAGCAGCCGATGCAGAGAAGGAGGCAACGGCACTGCTGAGAGACAGATCGAGGAGAATGGTACGGTTTGGAAGTAACCCTTTGTACGGGGATAGAACTCCGAATAATCCAAAGGCAGGGGAGGGTAGAGGGAGGGGGGTATCTAGGACTGGTAACACCCCGTGTTGCTGTGCAGCTATAGCCCTGCCCCCAGCACCGGCAGCAGCCACTAAGAGCACGCCAAGTGGCACAGTGGCAGCAGTGAGGAGAGGAGAGGTGGTGGGAGAGAGTGTGGGGTCAACGGAGAGAGAGGAGGAGAGGATGAGGAGGGAGAGCGAGAGAGTGAGGCAGGAGATGAAGGCGAAGACGGGGCGGGGAAGGGAGAAGGAGAGGAGGTGTTGCCGCGGGGCAATAAGGACGCTGATTGCCGGCCGGATGATGTCGTCTCTAGCGAGCACTGCGCAGAGGCCCGGGAATGAGGTGTCTAGGCGAGCCTGGTGGGAGAAAGGTAGGAGGAGTAAAGGGGATAGACGGGAGGGGGAGGAAGGCGGACGGAGGGGAGGAGGACGAAATTGGACTGAGGGGAGCAGGAGCAGGAGCAGGAGCAGGAGCAGGAGCAGGAGCAGGAGCAGGAGCAGGAGCAGGAGCAGGAGCAGGAGCAGGAGCAGGAGCAGGAGCAGGAGCAGGAGCGGGAGCGGGAGCGGGAGCGGGAGCGGGAGCGGGAGCGGGAGCAGGAGCAGGAGCAGGAGCAGGAGCAGGAGCAGGAGCAGGAGCAGGAGCAGGAGCAGGAGCAGGAGCAGGAGCAGGAGCAGGAGCAGGAGCAGGAGCAGGAGCAGGAGCAGGAGCAGGAGCAGGAGCAGGAGCAGGAGCAGGGAGCCCGGGAGAATATTTGGAGGGAGTCAGCAGCTGGTTGAAGTGAGCTGAGTCAGGAACACAGGCTAATGCATTGTTGACCACACTGATGAACACAGACTGGTGTAACTGGACTGGACATGGTGAACTGCCGGAGACATACACGCTGAATGAATGGTAACAGAGCAACAGGCAGAGCAACAGGCAGAGCAACAGGCAGAGCAACAGGCAGAGCAACAGGCAGAGCTACAGGCAGAGCAACAGGCAGAGCAACAGGCAGAGCAACAGGCAGAGCAACAGGCAGAGCAACAGGCAGAGCAACAGGCAGAGCTACAGGCAGAGCAACAGGCAGAGCAACAGGCAGAGCTACAGGCAGAGCAACAGGCAGAGCAACAGGCAGAGCAACAGGCAGAGCAACAGGCAGAGCAACAGGCAGAGCAACAGGCAGAGCTACAGGCAGAGCTACAGGCAGAGCTACAGGGCCTTACCTGAATGGTGGTATAGACAGAGGGAGCAGGAGCAGAGAGGCGGCCATAGAAAACCACGCCTTGCTGGCACTGACGTGGATTCACTGCTGACTCAACCTCAAATCCTGATGATGTCAGCACCTTAAGGTGGGGTGAAGGCCGATGTAGTGAGCCAGAACAGGGGGTTGGGGTCAGAAGGAAACAAAGTTAGCCAGAACAGGGGGTTGGGGTCAGAAGGAAACGAAGTGAGCCAGAGCAAGGGGGTTGGGGTCAGAAGGAAACGAAGTGAGCCAGAACAGGGGTTAGAGAATCACATGATTTCACAAACTATGAACTGGTAATCTGTACTTTTCACGACCTACACTGAGAGGATATTATAGCAGCATGCCTTGGAGCAATATAGCCTGTGACGGATAGCCATACCTTTGCCTTGATAGCTTCTGTGTCGACCTGCTCCAAAGGCCTGCCGTTCTCAGCCTGCAGGTGCACGCAACGAGAGTACATTAGATCAGTTTAAGTTTAAGTTTTAAGTGAGTCGGCTGATGTGGATGAGGGTACATTAGATCGGAAGAATCTTGCCCTAGCGGAGAAGCAGAGGCCGTAATTGCATGGTACATCGCAACAAAACCATGAACAAATAAATCTTGCGTGCCTTATCTTGATTTTAGCTCATATCTAGAACTTGGACTTTCAAGATCACAACAGCAAATCGCACGTACCTTGAAATAGATGTCATGAATGAGCCGTTCTTCTTCCTCCCTCCCCCTCTTAACCCCCACCCCGTCAGTGTCGAAGAAGAAATCACTCAGGGGGAACGGTACCGCCTGTCGCCAAGCTGACGTGGCAGCCGCGGCGCGTTTCACCATGGACACGTACGCCGCCTCGTCAGCAATGAAAGCCCTCGTTTCACCTGCCGCTGCTGGCGATGCTGCTGCTGCTGTTGAGTCTGGTCCTGCTGTTGCTGCTGCTGCTACCTCCCCACTTCTTGATGAATCTACAAACGTGACAGTTGAAGGAGCATCAGCTGAAGCAGAGGCATCGCTAGAAGAAGCAGCAGTAGCGGCGGCGGCGGCGGCAGCAGCAGCTTTTCGGGCTTGCCGTCTCCGCTCATTCTGCTCGATCAGACTTAGACCGCTCTCCCTGACTGCTCCCCCCGAACCGCCGTCCGCACCTGCTGTCAAACGCCGAACCTCATCGCCGAGTGCGATGGTCAGGTTCGGCGAGACCTCCACTTTAATAGGTTCGACGTCTGAGACATTTTCGGATTGCCGCTGCTCTCGGACGGTTTCT